AGGAATGACGGTCTAATCAGCTCATAGCATTTAGAGAGAGGAATTAGTCCCAGAACAGAATTCAGGGGTTTGTGATTTCCACTCTGATATTTAGCTCCTACCCCTTGAGAAAGCAAGGCAAGTTAACAGGTGAGGCAACTGCACTGGAATTTCTGAGAAAGCCCCCAGCCACTGTGTGGTATTTAGGCATACAGTTAAAAATCTAACTGTAGCAAAGCAGAAACAATTCCTAAATCCAGTGCTTCCTGCTGGCTAAAAAGAATAAAAATAAACCAGTTCAGTTCTGACTAAAAGCATCTAAATAAAGATTTCATGCATTCTAATTAATTTGCTTTAAAACTACATCAGTGAAATCTGCATGAATGTCTCAAATGCAACTATGCAGACTAGCCCTCCACTTAGCCACTCATTGAGGATGGAATCATGCTTCCCTAAGGAGTCTGAAAAAAAATTAAATAAAAATATAAAATACAAACATGACAGTTCTTCAAGTCGATGTTTCCTGGTTGCCAATTTAAACCAGAATGAAAATAAGTAAATCCATTCATTCTATTGTTCAGTAGCAGAATGTGATCATATGTTCTAAGAAGCATGAACATTTATATATTATAAGACTTAAGCCTGTGACAAGGAGTAACAGACACTTCTGTGTGAGTTTAAAAAAACAAAAACAAATACAAAGCACAGAAACTGGATTCTCTCCTCTTCATGATAATTTCCCTGCATTCCCTCCCTTCCTCCTGCTCTCCCTCCAGAGAGGTTAATTGTAAGCAGATTTACAAATGTGAACATTGCTTCAGTGCACTGAAGCAATCTGGAACAATTCTGTACCTTTATAAACATAATTTTGCTTTATTAGAGCTCACTGCAGGCAACGTTTATGCCAGTATAGAGGGCTTCTCTGCACTGCACCCTGCTATGTGGGCTGAGTTGTGTCTGATGGGATCCCAAAGATCATCAAGTACAGTGACAGTCCCTGTAGCCTGCAAATTTTATGAAAGAGGATGGAAGAGCTGCTGGGTTAAGCTGGGCAGTTATGGCAAAAGGAAACTCCCTTTTCTTCCCACTCGTACCTACAAAAAAATCAGTTTAGGTTTTCTTCAAGGGCAGGCTTCACCTTACAAAGCATCTTGCTCGAGAATCCAGCATTAGTGTTGGAGAGTTTTGCCCAGCTTCCTGCGTGCTCCCTTAATTGCAGGAGGCAGTGCCGTATGTATGACCCCTCACCAGCTCCTGAGCACCGAGGTCCACGCATCCAGGCAACAGTGAGCTGCTTGCTGACACCTGGGGTCAGGCCAAGGATGGTGCTCCAACATCAGCTTAGAGATCACGTAATAGAAGGGCAAAGGTTAGTTTCCTAAGGCTCTCCATCACATAATGAACCACTGTCAGCCTTAGTGGCCTTCTCACTTCAGCAGCAGCAAAAAAAGAATCCTATGTGATCACCATTTGTCTCTACTTGGTTATTTAAAAAATTAAGGGGCTGGAAGAGTAAGAAGGACAGAAGTGGTCTGGAGTGGGGACAAGAGCCTCAGGTGGACCTACATACCCCTAAGAACGCACACAGGAACTGAGGTGGGACAGCCATACAGCAGTCCCCAAACCTGATGTGGTGCTGGTGGATGGGCTGACTCCAGGCCATGACACCGAGAGGTGCAGCTCAGGTTGCAGAGACAGCTCAGGAGTTTCTGAAGGAAGGGTATCTGATGAGAGACAACAGGGCTTTATTTCAAGCTGTGTTTTGCCCTGTTGTAGGAAGATAAGGCAGTCATCACTAAGTCGTTTCCCCTCACACCCTTTGTCTTGTCTGTTTGGAGCACAAACTTTTTGCAACAGGAACTATACAATGAAAGCCAGTCCCTACACTAGTGGGATCCAGTTTCAGCAGGTCTCACAGATATTATCACAAGGCAAATAGCTACACTCCTGCCCTGAAGGCAGTCTTGTTATTGACCTCTCTTGATCAGATCTGGGGAGTAACAAGGGGTCCAAGATAACTTTTTTCCCCCTACACGAACAAAACAACCTATAAAGAAATGCAAATTCGGTGCATTCCTTCATCATCTCACTTCATTCTCTGAAACAAGATAAAAGCATACAAGAAATGCTCAGTAGCTCTTCTCTTTCAAAACACTGTACCCCCACTCTTAAAACTCTACTTATCACACTGGGTAGGCACCCAGTTCCCATCTCTTCTCTGATGTTTGGTGGAAGGCTCATTAAGCTCAAAGGAAGTTGCATATGCAAGTACTTTTGAATGCCCTTTAAAGGCAGAACAAATAAACACAGGACTGTAGCTTTTAAACACAGATTGTATACTGAAAATCAGCATTTACTCCTCCCTAGCTCCTGTGAACAGACCTTGGGGTTCCTATTTGCAGGTGCCCACCTCGATTATTTTCCCCATTTGGGACTGGTTTGAGCATTGTAGGCTTATTGCCCTGTGAGATTTCTCTGATACTTTTTTCTGTCCTTTGTTCATGGCTTTCACATTACAAGGTAACAGAATGGTAAGAAGATAGAAAAACAAAATGTGAATAATGCACTGGGGGGAAAAGAAAGACCTATATCTGGTAAGAAAAAGCCGAGTGACAGATGTGTCTTTGTTTACATAAACTTCTAAAGAAATGGAGTTGAAATCTAGAGATATGTATGAAAGAAGGTCAGATAAAAAAATAGTTTTTCCAATCTCTTAAGAGATTAAAAGCTCCTGTTTATGAAGGGATGACACAGAATCACTTCAGACTTAGTTCTTAAACCCAGAAGACAAGACACACTGCATTCAAACTGATGACATTTAAAATAATTTCTCTGTTCCTTTGCAAATGCTTTCTACAGAAATGCAGCCAGAGGACATCCCTCACTTCTCCCTAGGATTCTCTGTTCCCCCTCCAACCCGCTATCCCCATTTCAGTGCCTGTAGTGGTTTGAGATAAAGGCAATTGCCAAAGGGCAGTTTCACTCAGTTCACCCCAGGAAACAGGCAGAGCAAAACCTTAATTCTTGCTGGCAAAGCTCCAGCTACCCTATGGGAGAAAACAATCCATCGCCTAAAAGGCAGTGAGCCTTTATAGTTTATCCAAAGTAACTTTGGTTAACATGTTAAAAATACTGCTGATATTTCCAAAACCTACTCCAATGTGACGTTACAGCATTTAATAAGATTACTATTCCACGTCAGCAATAAAATCCTTAAGAACTCGACCAACAAGCCCTCAGGTGAGGAAAGTGCTTTTTCTTCTCTTCCAAACTGCATCACACTGTTTTTAATCAAAGAAAAAAGCTTCATGTGCACAGATACATATGCAGTCAAATACCTATCAATCAAATCCTCCTCATTCCCTCTTTCATCTTTGTTTTTAGCCTACCTTCTCTTTTACTCCCATCATGGTTTCCACTCCAGTAGATCTATACCTAAGTATAGATAAACTGCACTTCAGGCACACAAGAAAACTAGAAAACCCAACAAGGATAGTGAAATAATGAAAATCCCAAGACCTCCTCCCCCAGTAGCTTGAAACTTTTCAAAAACCACAATTTCAGGTTTCCATGAAAAGGAGCAGGAAAGACAGCACAAAGTCTCTAGAGATATATCTGGTTCTTTCTCCACTTTTCAACATTCTTTTTCTGAGAAGAAAGAGACGGTGGGAGAGAGAAATAGTACACAATGAGGAGGGACAAGTGTGACTTTAGGACTGCTTTGGCTCCTTCTCAAGTATGGAGAATGGAACTACTGGGATGTCCCACATAATTCAAAAAGACAAAATGCTGAAGATGAGAACTGGTTTGAATTGCAGTTCAGATATAAATGTCTAATCATTGTCAATTTTCTTTTCCTTTGGTCTTAAAAATCGCTCTTGTGGATAAATTAAAGTTAAAAAGTGGTGTTGGGCGATTTTTCCTCCTCTCTTATGCACACACTGCAAATTTCTGTAGTGTTTATTATTGGAATTGACCTACTGAGATCAGGAACATCACTGACAGAGGTCAAAACCCTCAACAATTCAACAAATCACTACATCAAAGACTTTTTTGCTACTGCAATCAATCCCATAAAAAATGAGAAAGTTTCAGAAACATTACTCCATAGGGATTTGAGAAAGGCTTTTTTAGCTATATTTTCAGGCTTGACGCAGATATCAATAAACTGGAAAAAGAGAAAAATCACATATTTCTACAAGAATACTTTAAAATGTTAATTTAAAGGGCAAACCAGAGATTTCTAGAAAAGAAAGGAGAGGAAAATCCCTTAGGTTTTTGGTATGCTTGGCAGTACTTTTGCATAGTCAGGTTTACTGGCTTTGCAGGTTTAGAAGAGGATTTGCCGGCTCCTTTCACCTTTCAGCGAGGGTCCAGGCAGCAAAAACAGAAGGCTCGAGGCCATTATACCATCAGTTTTGTAAAATGGCACAGATTGGTGCTACCGCTAAAAGGGAGCCCTCTGGCACAAGCATCTGCACTGGTGTGAGAGAGAAGGTGTAGGGCTGAAGCAGGCTGCTGGCTGCTGGCTGCTGCAGTGGGAAGCCCTTGTGAAGTGACAGCCTGGGCTGACCCCAAGCCCAGCAAAGCCTCAAGCCAGTCTGCCGGGCAGAGGAAGGACTGAAACCAAGCTTAAGAAGCCACTACTTATCCCCTTACACCCTTGTCACAGAAAGCCATTTCTAGAGCAGATGGGAGATAAGATCCAATCTTAAAGCAAGTACCTGTGGGTTTGTTCTTTCAGAAAACCTGGCAAAACTACCCACTTGGCATTCTCGCACTCACACGGGGTGGCCGTGCCTCACAAGCAGTGTGTTGCACTAAATGGTCTTAACTGGTTAAGGACTTAGAAGTTTATAAAGTACAGGTCTAAAGCTGTGTACCAAATTCATACTCCTTTCTTGACCTATGAATGTAGATACTGGCTTCAATCACGTAATTGCATAATAATTTTTTCCCTTAGGACTGCCACATATACATAGGACATGACAAACAATAAATTGTTTCTGAAGACAACTTACATTCTTTGGACATTCCCACTTCAAAGCACTTCTGTAGTCTGCAGTACTGGCAGCGATTTCTGGTAACTTTATTGATAACACAGTTTTTATCTCTGTGACATGTGTAAACCATGTTCTTCTGGATACTCCTGCGGAAAAAGCCCTGAAATTAAGGAAAAAAGAAATCAAGTAAACTTTTGAGCTTCCAATGACCCTTAGAGACAGGTAGTAATGTTGCCTTAAAATAACAAAAATAAATTGGAAGTTATGACTGGAGTATGGCATCTTTAAAGACTCAGTCTTATTATAATTTAGTACTATTTCTTGCAACATGCGACTCATCTCTTAAATAAAAACTAATTATACAATGCAACCTAAGGCCAAAATAAATAAGAATTAGTAAGAGCATTCAGGAAATTAAGTCCTAGATTTTACAAAAAAGCTCAAATAAAAATGGTTTGGACGTATGATTGTAATTAATGAGTTGGGTAAAGAGCCTTCCTAACAGATCCACTTGAAAGTCAAACACTCATCCAATAACCAATAGACTCCCTCAGCCTAAAGGTCCTGTGTATTTTGTTACTGCAGAGATTCTCTAGTTCGAAGGCTACATGTCAAAAGAGAAATAATTTGAAACCCAGGTTTCTCTAACTGCTGAAACTCCTACAGCAATTAATGAGGCTTCTGCAGGTGGAAGAGTTCCAGCATCAGGTTATTGAGTTGTGAACTTGTAAAAGCTGCCAATTACAGCACTTTTTTTCTTACTCAGATACAGCTGTGAAAATAATCAAGTAATTACAATGATTTTGAACAGAAATTAAAGAAACCTAGAGGTCTGGTTTGTACTTAAGGAACAGCATTTCATTGGATTCCTCCTCCAACAAGTGAAAAAGAAAAAAACAGCCATAAATGGTAAGGTTAGGTGGCACAGAAAAAAGGCAAACCCCAAGTTAATTTCTTTATCTGCACTAAATCCCAAGCTTTAGATAATATCATATAATAATGAAGAAAAAAAAGAGGATTACTTTAAGCATTTTAGAGCTCAACCCACAGATACTCAGTGAAAGATTTCTGCAACAGACATTTGGAAATTTGACAGCACTATTTAACCTTCTCACTCAGATTTTCAAAATCGTTTCAGCAAGCACCAGGGTCAAATTTCAGTCAACATCGCAGCATTATGGAAGAATAGTTAGCAATTTAATATTTGTTGGAGGGCTTGAGAGGTTAAAACTCTTCATCCAGCCACATGTTTACACCCTACAGGAAAGCCGTAAACTTGATGCCGCAGACGATAGCTCTGTGCCCACAATGCATTTGTCTAAAGATGCGATCATGGTAAGCTATAGAATTGGCTCTACTAGAAATGCTCACCGAGATATGCAAGTAGTTCAAAAGCCAAAACCCCTATCAGTCGGAGTTAACTGGGAGAGTTTCTGGCTACATGATCAGGGAGTGGTAGGGCAGGCAGTAAGGGCTGGTCATAAATTCCTTGCACAGCCAACATGCTATAGATGCTAATGTTATGAAAATACCTCAGATTCACTCAGAACTAAAAAATGCCTCCTTAATCACATAACCCCTGGCAAAAGTTTTCTGCAGCTCTTGCACAGACAAGCCTCATCCTGAGGTTAGCTCCTCTGATTTAGGAGATATTTCATACTACCATCAAAAAGGTAAATAAAAACTTTATGCTTCTTTTCCTTAAGCTACTGGACACAGAAGAATAATTTAAAGTTATTTGTTTAGACAATTAAAACCTTTTAAGTTATCCATAACACCGCTATTTTATATTCCACCCTTCTGATCACTACCACTGCTTGAATCTTTGCAATGGCAAGTATGGCAAGCATGTGTGTACATTTGTTTACTTGCCAAGAAGAAAATCTATGGTAATATTCACTTATTCCTTTCTTGCTTTGATATTTCCCTAACTGTGATGCCCAGCTCTGTGGTAATTGCTGATGATGCTAATATGACACTGAGGAGTCTGTGGCATCTATTTTGGTTTAATTCAACAGCCAGAAAGTGTGACCAGTGCTGGTTCAAGGGTCTCTCTATAGCTTATTCAATCACTACTTTGTAGCTGGAAAGATCTGAGGGAAGCCAAGACTGGTAGCTTCCAGGGCAGCCACCCCAGCTTAATCCAGTGCTGCAGGGGAATTAACACCCACAGCCACCGATGGAATCACTCTCCTACCACCAGCTTGACAGGATAGGAAATAAAATGGCCCAAATGAACAAGTCACTCAATACTGGTAAAAGAAGAAACAGCTTTCTCCAAATGTGTCTGTACTTCACCAAAATATAACGGGTAGCTAATGGCTGATCGACCAGTTGTTCTGATATTTAGATACAGGTTCTGCATCCTTATAAGCCAGGGTTCAATTACAGCCCATCAGGAAGGAAAGCAGAGGAGGTTGCCTCAGTCCTTACCATATAAAGTTGACCACACAGCCCAAAAGAAAACCACAATCCAGCTTCTGCAGACAGCAAGTATAAAGCATTCATGAGCTCATTATTAATATAAAAGGCTTAAGAAGAACAATTTTGGAAAAAGCAGATCTCCAGGTTAAAATGAAGACAGTTTCCTCAACAGCCTAACCTCCCCAGGCAATGCCTTCCACAGAATGAAAGATACAGACGAGGATATTAATTGTCTAAGCTTGGACTGTTGTTTTACAAATTACTTTTTGACACCTGTATTTGACTTTCTTCCTGGAGTTATTCAAGGAACAGAAGGAAAATGAACTTGTTTGCATAAAATATTCAGGTGAAAAAAGATGTAACATGGTCCTGCTCAAAACTAAGGACATGGTTCTTGACAGTATATTAGTGCCCATTCCCAAGTATCCCCAGGACAACACTGGGATACTATTCCTATTAAGATTTGTGGTAAACTCATTTTTAAACCTCAGCAATATGTCACCAGAAAGATTTGATTTTTAAATTTTCCTCTGGACAGACACTAAGAAAAATGCCCAGATTATAAATACCTTTGCAGGCAAACACCAAACCAAAGCCATCCTGGGGGAGATACAGGAATTCAGGCACCAGAGAGTGAGAAGCATTTGCTGGGTGCTGGGGCTCAGTTTCCCCGCACGACTCCATATGCCTGGTGCCCTGCAGCCACAAGTTTTGGGTGGCACTGCAAGCAGGGTCATGCTCAGAAACATTTCCTGAATCTGGGCTGAAAAACACAAAGACTGTCCTGTCTTTCCCTCTGCAGGGGTTTGGACCTTGCCTGCAGCTCTGCAGCGAAAGAAAACCCCACAGGACACAGAGATGGACAGAGCGGGTGTTTGCTGCCCAGTTAAACAGAAAAGTACATTTAAACCATGTCAAGGCTGGGTTCCAAATAGCACAGGTATAACACTGGTCTTTTCACTAAAAATAGCAAAATTAGAAGCAAGCCTAAGTTCTCCTCCAAGTGCTTTTTGTCAAGTGCTTCTCATTTGATCTCACCACCCCAACAATTTCTTCAAAAATCAAGAAAATCCAAACGTGACCTGCCCTGAAGAAGTTGTCAGAAACTTCAGAGACAGCAAAACTCCACAGCTTATAAATTAATCAACTTCTGCTGCCTACTGGCTCTTGGAAAACAATCTACTACATACTATGATACATTTACCTTGAAACAAATCTGTTTGGCTGAATATTTACATGAGCCATTTTTTATGCAAATATTTTAGCATCCTGTCCAAATTAACACCCTGTGATGGGAGATGAGACACTCCTGTGCCAAAAACAATCATGAATGATTCTTTCTTTGTAATTTAAAATGCCCTATGAATATAAACAAAAATCCCATTTTGTGAGACATAAAGCATTACTGTCATACATACGTACTGTCATACATAATTGTTTTTGATAGCACCTACAAAGCACTTGAATTTAGAGTAGAGGAAGCCACTGAAGGCCTATCGGGAACAGTGATTTGCTCCGATATTCCTTTTATCCACAGCTTTTGAAAGGAACATGGATCTTGTGTTTTTATTTTAGCAAAGACAAAGCTTTGTGGAAATCACACTTCTGAATTAATTCTGTTTTTCTCAGCTGCTTTTATCAGTATCCTTTCCACTGAACATTTTGGACAAATATTTCAATTTGTAATCTCATCTTTTCTGTGTACCACGCCATGCTCCTCCCAGGCTCACCAATCTTGTTATCTTAATGGATGACAGATAGAGTATCACTCTGACCATGCCACATTAGGCATCCTCATTTACCGAGTGCAAGGAAAAAATGCTGAGTATAAATTATTCAGAAATCTATTGTATCAGCGTGTGTTCTCTGAGCATCCACCAGTGGCAGAGCAGACAGATTATTTTTCACTTTTAATTGTGTTGATATCTTATCTGCCCCACTGAAAGCAGAGAGTGATATGTGAAACCATACGTATGTATCAAGCAGCAAATAAACACCGTTTCCTACATCTATTGCTTAGAAGTAAATAATCTATTTAGTCAATCTAACTTCAACACAGTGCTGAAAAAAACACCTCATCCCACTCACCACTTTTGTAGCATTTGCCTGTAAGTGCACCAAACTTTGAGAGCTCAGTACAGGACACGTATATAGACACAGATGCCTATAGAGAATATTAACTATTTCAGTAATATTTTGAATGCTATTATGCCACTGGCTATCTGAATACAAAAGACCTCATCAAGGATGAGCCCTCAAGATAAGGTAAAGTGTTTAAGCTTATGAAGTCTTATGGATTTGTTAGCATGAATTGCTAGCCTTACATATCTCATGGGGAATCTATACAACTCCCTCTCCTTCACTGTCCAGTTGATTTTGGCAAGGCAGATGATTTAGAGCCCAAGTTATGCACATTGCATGAAGAGATGGATCATTTGATCTCAACAATGTCTTAAAAATATTTTGCCAGCACAGGGCATGCCAAATCTTATTTGCAGGCGTAGTGGGCTTACAAGCTGAAAACTTGCACCGCAAGCCAGGGACAAAGTAATCAGCAGAGAAGGGCTATTGCAAGCTCAATCTGTTTGAACAGCCTGCTCAGTTCATCTGGTTCAGCTTTGATTACCCCCAAATACAGGCAGCCAGCTATGACTCCTGCAGATTTAGAGGCCATTCTTTGGTAAATTTGCAAAATAAGCTTCTGAGTGAAGCCTACGGCTACTTTATCATAAAAGA